AAAAAAATTTTTTATTTATATGCATTAGTTGTGGCGTAATTCAAATTTTAATATGTTAGGATTTGCAATGATCGACAAGCGGTCAGATATTTTTTGGAGGGGAGTGTACCTTCGGTACTGTGGGAGATTAGCCTAACTATTGAGAAGAAAAAAATGTTTTCAAACATGTTTAGGTTGATGATACTTTATTGAAATAACATTAATTTACAAAGTTATAGAATACAACATGGTAATATTTCTACATTTATCACCATCTTCCTCTTTAAATCTTAAATGAATTTCTTCTTGCTAATTTTGCAACAATCCAAAATAATATACCTGGATACTTACACTCAAGCAAAGATTTTGCATCTTCCATTTGCTTATTTTTTTCAAAATACAAAAGAGTGGTTATGTCATCCACCCAGTGCCATCTACCAAATAATCCCAATTCATAAAAACATTCCATCAGTGTTTCATTTCTATAACACCAATCCTTAATAATATTATTACTGATCTCAAGAGTATATTTATTATTTGTGTAATTAAATCCTGTAATATATATAAAAGACTTGTAGTAATTATCTAATGGCACATAAGACGAAATTCTTCTAAGTTCACTAGACATTCCTGTGGAAAACAACAGCAAACTTGATCCATCTTAGAACCATGTTTCAATCTTCTAATTTTCTTCTTTGGCTTCCTCTAATAGAGGACAATAGTCGTTATTGCCAGCGATTAGCAATAACGTAAAAGGTTTTTAGTAAATATGAAACGTATTGCATGGCAAACAAGTTTTATATCAACTTTTTCTCTTTGTTTGATGCGTTTCGTTTGTAAGTTTTTACTTCACAACTATGAGGCTTAGCTCAGTCTCACAATGTATCATTAGGTGGTGGAATAGAGCTGACAATAAAAGTATTGCCCATTTTTCGTCTATTTAAAACTGTTCTGACAAGTACATCAGGAATATTTTTAATGCGAAGTATTGCGTAAGATTTACGATTTGTAAACTTATGCAAATATTACGGCGT